GAAATGTGTTCCTGAACTGTTGAAAATAATTGTACTGCAAGTGATACTCATATAATGTTTATATTCTGTGTATAAATCTGTATACCTGACTGTTGATGCATGATATGAACCTTGGCTATAAGTGTCTACTGAGTGTGAACACTTTGATATTGTACTTCTCTTGTATATATTATTTACTGTGTAATCTTCTCAATTGTACATTAATTTTCTAATTTCTTGCCTGAATCCTTCTTTGAAAATTAGTACACTTCTGCACAGTATGACTACTAAGATAGATGTTCAGAATTGGGATAGCAAAGGAGACTTTAGTCTCTAGTGCCAGAAAATGAACTCACTCTTAATGCAACTAAAATGTGTGAGAGCCATTGATGATTCTTGGCCTGAAACTCTATCTGAGACTAGGAGGACTGAACAAGATGAATTAGCTTGGAGTACTATGTTTCTTCACTTGTTTGATTCTGTAATTAGGAAGGTAGGAAAGACTGAAACTGCTGCAAAACTTTGGCAAGCCTTCGAAAAACAATATATTACTAAGTCTATGCCCAATAAATGTTTTTTTGTGGAAACAATTTTTCAGTCATAAGTTTGAACCTAATCTAGATCTATAAGAGAATATGGATAGGTTTAATAAGATCATTCAAGACCTAACTACCTGTGGGGAAAAGATCTCTGATGATCAAAAAGTAGTTGGTCTACTTAATGCCCTAGGAGGTAAGTATAAGGACATTAGAAACGCCTTAGAATATGGTAGGAGTGATCTTACCATTGAAATAATCCATGAATCTCTCAAAAACAAAGAATTGGAACTTAAATATGAACAAAAGGAAGTTCTTCATGCTGAAAATGCCTTATCCAATCCTAAATTCCCATCAAAGGCCTTAAATAACTTCAGTCAAGGCTATCAAAATAAGGATAAAAACTTCCCTAAGAAGAAATGGGGGAATAATAAAGGAAAGGATAAGAAAGTGTACAAAGGGAAGGCTAAGAATCGAAAATGTTACTATTGGGGGAAAGTTGGACACCTAATTAAATATTGTTTTAAGAAAGCAAATGATTTAGGAAAATGGTCCAACAATGATAATGGTACTTCTGCTATTGCTGCTTCTTATAAGGAAGCAAATGCTGATATTGGGGATAGCATATGTTTCTTTATCAAAAAACCTGATCAAAATTGGGTTCTTGATTCAGGTTGCTCCTTTCACATGAGTCCCAATATCAGTTGGTTTTCTGATTTCTCTAGTCTTAATGAAGGATTTGTAAAACTAGGGAACAATGAATCTTGCCAAGTTAAAGGAATTGGTAACATTATTCTGAAACTAAAAAATGGTCAGTTTCTAAGGCTGAATCATACTAGGTATGTTTCAGCACTTAGAATGAATCTAATCTCCTTGGGAGTTTTAGATGATGAAAGTTATCATGTTGAAATTAGAAATGGTTTTACAAATATAATTAAAAATTAAAAACTTCTTGTCAGCTCACTGAAGATCAATGGAATTTATACCATAACCTCTGTTGTTATTGAAAACAACACTGCAAACTTGGTGACACAAAATGATAAATCAAAGTTGTGGTACAAAAGGTTAGGTCATCTTAGTGAAAAAGGCCTAAAATCTCTTTTAAAGGCAGGTGTGTTTGGAAGGGATATAGTTCAAAGATTAACCTTTTGTGAACATCACGTTATGGGAAAACAGAATAGAATGCCCTTTAAGATTGGAATACATAAGTCACAGAATATACTTGAATATATCCATAGTGACCTATGGGAGCCTATTCCTGTACCTACATCATCTAGCTATAGGTATTATTTTCTGACCATTGATGATTATTCCAGAAAGGTCTGGATCTTCTTATTAAAATCAAAGTCAAACATTTTCTTGGCTTTTAAGGACTGGAAAACCTTAATAGAAAATCAAACAAGTAAGAGAATTAAGATCTTAAGAACTGACAATGGGCTGTAATTCGGTAATACTAAATTTGATCAGTATTGCAGTAATCATGGCATTCTTAGGCACAGAACTGTGACCTATTCCCCTCAGCAAAATGGAATTGCTGAGAGAATGAATAGAACAATCTTAGAAAGGACAAGATGCATGCTGATTAGTTCAAGACTGCCAAAAATCTTTTAGGGAGAGGTAGTTAAAACTGCCTGTTATTTGATAAATAGATGTCCTTCAAGTTCAATAGGTGAAAGAATCCCTGAACAAATGTGGTCAGGATCTGTTCTTGATTATTCTCACTTAAGAACTTTTGGGTGTGCAGCCTATGCTCATCAAACTGAGTCCAAACTTGATCCCAGATCTATGAAATGTGTTCTCTTAGGATATGGGGAAAGAATAAAAGGCTATAGACTATGGATTAAAGAAATAAAAGGGTACAAAGTAATAACCAATAGATCTGTAGTCTTTAATGAATCTGTATTTCCATTTCTTGGTGACAAAACTGAAGAGGAAATATCAGATAAAGACTTTGTTATCCCTGAAATTGATTTTAGCAATCAAAATCTACATGAACAGACTCAAATTGAGGTAGAGCAACCTCAGGAAGAAACTCAACCTATCATAGTTAATGAAAATAAAGGTGAAAATCAAGACATTGAACCTACAAATGACTTGCAGGACTATCGGTTAACTAGGGATAGGGAGAGGGGACAGATTAGACCACCTTTTAAGATACCAGTATGCAAATTTTGTATCTGCACACCTGGAATTTGATCCTCTGTATAAGGAACCTGAGTCATTTGAAGAGGCAACTACCTCTAAAGAATCTGAGAAATGGTTTACAGCAATGCAGGATGAGATGAGTTCTCTAAGTAAAAATAAAACTTGGCATTTAGTAGAAAAACCCAAAGACTGCAAACTGATTGACTGTAAGTGGGTGTATAAAATTAAAGAAGGCGAATTTAAATCAAATGATAGAAGATACAAGGCAAGATTTGTAGCAAAAGGTTTTACACAAAGAGAGGGTATAGATTATACTGAGATATTTTCACCAGTAGTGACGTATACCTCCATTAGAATATTACTTGCCCTTGTAGCACAATTTGCTTTAGAACTAGAATAACTTGATGTTGAGACAGCCTTTTTATATGGTTTTTTTAGATGAAACAATATATATGAAACAACCAAAAGACTTTGAGGTTAAAGGTAAGGAACATTTAGTGTGTCTACTAAATAAATCATTGTGTGGCCTAAAACAGGCTCCAAGACAGTGGTATAAAAGATTTGATTCTTTTATACAATGCTTGAATTTCATAAAATCTGAATATGATCCTTGTTTTTATTTCAAAAGGGATGGAGAATGTGAATAATTTTACTTGCTCCTATATGTGGATGATATGCTTCTAGCTGGTCATATTTCTGCTACTTTAAATTCTATGAAACAAAAATTAAAGTCTGAATTTAAACTAAAAGACCTTGGATTTGCTAGAAAGATACTAGGAATAGAAATAAAAAGGGATAGGTCTAATGGAAAGCAAAAAGGCCTATATTGAAAAGGTTGTGATAAAATTTTCTCAGCATGATGCAAAACCTATTAGTTTACCTTTGTCTGGTAATATGAAATTATCAATGAAGATGAATTTAAAAGAATGTTGAATGTACCATATGCAAATGCTGTAGGTTCTGTCATGTATGTTATGGCGTGTTCTAGACCTGATATTGCTTATGCAGTAAGTGTATTAAGTAGATTTATGAGTAATCCAAGTGAGCTTCATTGGGAAGCCATGAAAAACTTAATTAGATACTTGAAAGGCACACATAACTTAGGTCTTATGTTTAAATCTGATAAAAATGTTCTCAAATTGAAAGGCTATGTGGATTCAGATTTTGTTGGAAATTATGATAATAGAAAATCCACCATTGTATATTTTTATGTGATCAATAATACATGCATAAGCTGGAAACCACAACTTCAGAAATTGGTAACACTTTCCTCAACTGAGGCTGAATACATAGCTGCTACAGAGGCAGTAAAAGAACGTTTCTGGTTGATGGGATTACCGAATGAGTTAGGACTTATAGAAAATCAGGTGAAGTTGTGTTCTGATAACCAAAGTGTCATTTTCTTGAGTAAGAATCCAATTTTTCATGATAGAACCAAACATAGAGATGTTAAGTTTCACTTCATTAGAGATATTGTTGAAAATGGTGCAATAAAGTTGGTCAAAATTCCTACTAAAATAAATCCTGCTGATGCAGGTACAAAGGTAATACCTCTAAGTAAATTCATAGATTCCTTAAGGTTGTTGAATCTTGAAATTTACTAACTTTGTTCTTTTTTCTTTTACAAGTTTTTTTAGAGCAAATGAAGTTAGTCAGTTTTGTAAGAATTCACTTAGCATTGGCTTCAAAATTCCAACAAGGTGGAGATTGTGAAGATATTGGGTTGCTACAATTCTTGAGCTCAATGATCCAGCTAGCTATACAAGGCCCACTTATTTGATCCAGTTAATTAAAGGTTTGAGATTAATGAGAAATCGTTTTTCTAAAATGCAACTTTACTTCTAACATGATCATGGCTGGATGTTTGACACCTAGCAAACTGGGAACCGTTGGATCAGCATATTGGCTCCCTCTCTTAAAGATAATGGAGCCTGACTTCTGGGGTTATTATCTCTCGAACTCTAACCCTAATCTCTCAACCGCGCCTCTTCTAATCTGTGTGAATATTCATCTTTTGTGATGAATCTAGTGTAATTTCTGAGTGAAATTATGATAATATGTTAGAGGGTGATGAGATCCATTTTTTGTGGAACATTCTGTAATCTTGAGGATGAACTGTGTATTCCGAGAGGCAAAAATCTTGGAGTTCTCTCTGTACTTGTAACTTTGCTTGGTTTTTGAGTTGATCTAGTGGATTCGAGCAAAATTCTAACGGATGCTCAACGGAGAGCAGGCGATAGCCGAACCTCGGGGTCTTGGAGTCAAAACTTGCTGTGTTTTTAATTTCTTGCAAATTATTTTTAATTCTTTTACGTTTAGTCGTCAACGGAGTCACAAAAATACTAACCTGGGACCAACAGTCTCTAGTGGCGACATAGCCCAGGAAATATTCAAAACCCAAGATATTAAATTTGCAGCCAGACCAGAATTTGGTGGATCGGATTATCAAATTTACAAAGACAACTTATTTTCGACTTTGGATTATGGAAAACAATGGAGTTTCTTGAAGAAAATATGCATGACTGAAATTCTTTCGAATCAACAGATTCATCGATTTGCTGATCTTAGAAAGGCAGAGATGATGAATTTATTGAAGGTTATTGCAAAGTATTCAGAGACTGGTGAGGGTTGTGATGTTGGACTCGAGTTTATGGCGCTGATGGACAATGTGATTAGCACGATGGTAATGAGCACCAGGTGTGCGACAAATGTCGATGAGACTGCACAGATTAGGGAAATAGCAAGGGGAATAACTCAACTTTCGGGCTTGCTGAGTCTGGGAGAAGCATTTCCTTTGTTGAAATGGTATGATATTTTTAGGGCTGGAAGAAAGGCGAAATCCCTTCTGCTGGATTCGATGCTTTAATGGATGGAATTATATCGAAACATGAGATCGATATTCGTGATGGAAAACGAGAGAGGATGGATATGATGGATATTCTCTTGCGTATTTCAGAAGATAAAACTTCAGATCTGAAGCTTACTAAAGCTGATATCAAGGGCCTTTTCCTGGTTAGTTGATCGCCTTCCTATGTAATTACATTGAATTTTGTTGTCCTATTTTTTCTAAGTTTGTTGACATGGTTCTCTCAAGCGCATAAATACTAGGTCGCTTGAGGGAAATCCAACGCTAGTAGCTTATAAGATCAAATATGGACTCGACAATTAAATAAATTTTACCAGGAAACTGATTCTCATTAAAAATGTGCATTTGACAGGATCTTTTCTTGGGAAGTACTGAGGAAACAAGTGTAGCCTTACAATGGGCACTTGCAGAACTCCTCAATCATCCAAAGGCCTTAAAGAAACTTCAAGATGAGATTGACACGACTGTGGGGTTAAAGAGGCTAGTCGAAGAATCAGACATCCCAAATCTTCCATACTTGCGTGCTGTCATCAAAGAAACTCTACGGCTGCACCCTTCATTGCCCTTGGTGTTCAGAAAATGCCGGGAGGACAGCAAGATCAATGGTTTCCCCATAGCTAAAAATTCGAGGATTGCAATAAATCTATATGCGACCAATCGCGATCCAAAAGTTTGGGAAGATGCTGCAGAATTTGAGCCAGAGAGGTTCTTGATCAATGCTATAAACACGATTGGACTTGCTGATGAAGAGGATATGAAAGGGCAAAACTTCAGTTATGTGCCGTTTGGAGGCGGAAGGAGAGGTTGCCCCGGAGCTAACCTAGCTACTTCTGCGTTGCATATAACACTTGCAGCGTTAATCCAATGTTTCCACTGGAAAATAAAAGGAGCCGAAAAGGTCAATATGGAAGAGGGAGCAGGATTTTCTGTACCAATGGCACACCCTTTGGTCTGTTATCCTATTTCACGTGTTAATCTTTCAGATATCCTTCTGATTAACTAGTTGACATGGTTATCAAACCATGGTATTGCAATTTTTAGTCCTTTATGCCAAGAATTTCCACTTGTAATAGGAGATGATGAATGTTTCTTTTCAAGATAGAAAAGATGCATGAAAACATACTTATATTTTCTATGTTACATAAATAAAATGAACAGCAGTAGTCCCAGATGGAAGTCAGTGACCATATATACTGGAATATAAATAAAATCAAGATTTTTCATTACAATGACAGACATGACCTAGTAACTTCAACATGGTGTAAAACTTTGTCTCGTCTCCTTGTACAGTTTTATTGGGGTGAAATTTCCTTCAAATAAAAAAAGGTCAAACTCTTGTTCACGAGTTCGATTTCTTTTGTCAATTTAGTCGTGTTTGAATGATTTGTTTCATTTATTCAACATTTATGTGTTACAATCAATGACAAGTAGTTAAAAAAATATACCCTGTTTCAATTCTATTTCTATACGCCATCAGAATTTACCCCTATATGTTCATAAGATAGTTGCTTTTGCATGCACAACATAATAATCATCATCATTATTTGATCAGTCTATGCCTACATAGCATTTTTATGCTACATATTTGCAACAAAATTATAGTCTTAACTTCACATGGTCAACAAGTACTGGAACTCATATTCATAAGGTATCTTCTCAACAATGCCAGATGCTTTGCCACCATGAAGTCCCCGAAAACAATCCACAATTGATTTCCTCAAAGATCCCGAGGTAGGTAACTGCTCGCACACCCATTCCATCAATGAGTCGACGTCTCTGGAGAAATCCTGCATGTTCCCAAGCAGCAGTTCAGGGAGTGCTATTCTTTTTGTGCTTGTCACAACTATTGAAGCTTGCAGGTACTCCAGCTTTGATCTTTCCAATTCACCTACGACACCCTCTGCTGTATATATTTTTACCTAATCATGAAACATATATATACAATCAGCAAGCTCTGGAGATCTTAGTAAATAGAAGGAGAAAAAATAAATTTTTAAAATATTTTTATGTATATTACACCTAGGAAATGTTTGGTACCAAGTACTAAACATGATATACTTTAACCGTCCAAACTTTAACTTTTTTACTTCATCAATACTTCCACAACTGTATAGAGAGTCTTACCAAGAGAACCACTGTTATATTGCATTCAACAATACAATGTTCACCTATATATTTGACATATACATGAGACATAAATTTTAAGTCCAAATTGGATCGTACAGGCTAGATTGTGTGGCATGTATGGTAAGGATAGTGGACGGTATGAGATAGTATTTAAGAAGAAATATTTCTAAAATATTCAGCATTATACTGTTGAATCATATTCAATATTGCGTACTAAACATGCAGTGTTTATAGATATATTGTGTAATTTTCTTGTCGAAATGGTTGAAACTCACTGCTGGTGAAGAACGTGTACCGCAGCACAGGGCAAAGATGACATTTGGATCTGGTGACTGAAGTCCATAAAGTTCACCAACTATAGCCTCTTTGTTATCCTTTTCTCCCTTCCCAGTAATCTAAGAAATGCATAAAATCCAAAGTGTGCTGTTAGATGCCATTTCGACTCAGGATTTTATGAAAAAGGAAAATAAATAAGGTAAGAATAAACTTTGGCTGCCTTTTCTTTCTAACAAAATAATTCAGTATTGAATCAAAAAAAGTTGCTTTCTATTAATATTGTGTACACTAAAATTGAGGATATATGAGCCTTGATATAAACCATTACAAGGTGACGTACCTGTTTAAGCAGTGAAGGCTCAAGTTTTCTCAGGATAAAATGTTCAATTGCCTGAGCATTTATTATGTTACCAGCAATATTCAGAGTTGCCTGAAATGAAGCACAAGTTATATACAAGACTATAGGAACATCAAAAACCTTACTCTATCATCTCACTTATAATTTCTTCATTAACTGATAAACGCATGATGTAATTATATAACTCATAAGAATGGGACACAAAAAGAAGTGAGTGTGGCGCTATATTGTTAACCTTCACATCTAAAAGATTGAACAGTCGGAGAGACCCCTCGTGTATTCATTTAAATTATGTCTTCAACATCTATAAGTTGGGAAAGTTCCAAGTTCTCGGTTAAATTAAAGAACTAGAAATAATTGTCTTCAGATATGCTTATTAAATTCTATTTTACCTTGTGGATAAGTTTAAACAACTTCTCAGGTGTAGAACTAGAAGGAATCCCATATTGAAGGAACCCCTGGAAACAAAAAATTACATTCACACATTTAAGTATATCAATAATCCAGAAGTGTAAAATTAATAGGTAATAGAAAAGTAGCAAGAACAGTGTTAAAAGTCTATATACATGCATGATAGAAGCATTGTACATGTTGATCCAGAAAGCCAGCTTCTGTTGATGACTCAAGAATCTCAAGTCCACCTTCTGAAGACCATTCATTAACACCCTGAATTCTCCAAAACCATAGAAAAAATCATAAATAAGCTCAATGGAGCGAAAATATTTCAAAAGTGAAGGTAAATTCCTTGATATTGAGCTTGATTCTTACTTTAACTTCTGAAATAAAGGTACCGAGTTCGAGTTTTGGATGCATTTTGGATCCATAGAACTCGATGTGAATCTAACCAAGTTTTTATAGGGGCCAATATCCCTTGTAATAGACTCTTCAGAATCAAAAATTCCATAGGGATCTTGCTGTCTAGAGTCTTTCTGAAACATGAGGCTTGTTTTTGAATTTAAGCTTGTCTCAGCACGAAAACTTAGAGAAAAGTTTGTAGACCGGGCTATTTGGCCTGATTTCTCTAATTCCATTGCTCTTGACGTTCGAAGTAGCCTTACAAAAATGAAGATCAAACACTTCATGATGTTCTCAGATAACTTGTTTGGTGGCCACTTGTGAATGCTTTGTTCTTCTGAATGAATTGGAGTTGACATAACTTTTTGCAGGATATCCGCAGGAATTTCAAGGTTACGGTCTTTCTGAAATGGCATGAAAAGTCATAATCTTAGAATCAAATAGTAGAAAAGTGAAAAACATGTAGTCTGCTAACATGCAAGTCGGTTATAATTTTGAGTTGAATAGGTGAAAATGAGAACGAATAAGATTATGTGATCGTACTCTTGGGGTTGGATGCCTCATGTCTCGAAATGGAGAGGCAGCTTTAAGCATCCCACTTCTCTTTGAAACCTTTTCACGAAATATTCCAATTTCATCGTGAAAATTATTTTCCTTATGATCAGACAAACCTTTTGGATTCGTCCCTTTATCATTTATTCTGAAGTCACTGAGATTGTAATCTCCTTTTATAGCCTTGCTAATAAAATGTAGCCCCTTGGCCTCAAACATGGTTTTCTCGTTGGAACGATGCCTGCTTGTGTTTTCATTGTTATTTTTTGGAGTTCCATTCTGCTGCCATTGCTTGGAATTCGATTCCTTTTCATTTTTCACCTCAGATTGAAGCTGGCTGATTTGGCTTTCCAATCGCACAATCTCATTTTCAACCATAGCTAGCTCGGCCAATAGCTCTTTCACCTGCATATATGAAATTTAACAAAAAATTTAAGCCCCTGTTTCACATCCACTAAATTGAAATTCCTTTTTTTTTTTTTTCTTTTCTGAAATTCGTTTTCAACCACACGTTCACACAATAAAATATTTTGCACGTGGATAAAAAAATTTTCCTAGTTTTTATTCACACATTCTCCAAAAAAACCACTATTTCAAAACTCATTCCCCTCCAAAAAAATTCTCATTTTATTGGATGTCAAATGGGGGCTAAGTAGCGTATTCCAAATTAATTTCTTCAAGAAAAGAATTTAAATCAAATAAATTCCACCTTTTTTTCAAGGATAATGCTATCTAGCATCATTGATACTAGAACACCAGTTTAGATGGTCCAATCAAATGGATCATTTGACTTTACATTTAAATGAATCTATCATTTAATGCTATTTAATTAACACTTAGACTAGTGCTAAGCATCAATGGGGCTAAATAGTATTATTCTATTTTCATTGCTATTATTAACAAATATCTGACAGATGGGAACACTGCTGAGATTTCTTATATTATGGAAATGTATAGATATAGAAATAATAGTAAATCATGAATAAGAAATATAGATTTCTTATTTTTGTACATGTAAAGAATATGCCGGGCTGCGAGATACTATGATTATAACTATCCGTTATTGTGGTTTCTAACTAATTATCTACTTATGTTCAATCTTTCATTAAATTTAGCAATGAAACTAAAAGTGAAAGAAATCGTATAAATTAGAGTCTATACATAGGAAATGTGAAACTTACTTTTGGTGGTAAGTAGTTTGGGATGCTGAGAGAAGAACCATCCTGTCGATTTTGAAGTTGCTGGAGAAATTCGTGCACCTTTTGTTCATGAGCCAGCATTTTGTGAAGCACTGAAACCTTGGTTGAGTAAAAATTTTACCTTTCAAATTAGTATCACATTTTTTTGTCAAAAGAAAAAATTGAACCCATCACCTCTTCTTGTACTATAACGTACAAGAGAATCAAAGAAACCATGCAAATAACTTAATCAGAAAGATGCATAAAATCATGTCCATACCTCTCTTTCAAGTTCCTCTTTCTTTTGTTGTCCACTAAGCTTCTTTTTCTGAAAACCAAAGATCTTGTTAAGGGTTAAATCACATGTCGGTTATAAGCATTTGTGCTACTCTGCTTAATAAGGTCGTCATTTTAAGATACAGTTAAATTCGAGACATTGTACATTGTACAGAAAAGAGAAGAAATTTCATGAGCAGCGACCATACACCACAGAATTTAGGCTTTCTGTGATGGTTTTGATATCAGATATGGAATTTTCTCGAGTTTAACAAAGTTGGAATAAAACTTACAATAATCTCTGGTGGAAGTAATGATGAATCCTCCATGAATCAGAAAATGATCCAAACCAAACCTTCAACCTGAGTCAGGGCCTTGGGAGGACATCAAAACAGAATGATTATCAGATTTTGATTATACAAATGCTTGTACTTGAAGTAAATTATGGCTAGAATAATAGTTTGATAATAAAGATAAAAGGGAGCTTTCAGGAGAACAAGTAGTTTGAAATTGATACTGGCTAACCGCAACAATTCAGTCGTGACTTGTGAGTGGGACATCGTAGGATAAGGAGTAATGCGCAAAAATAATAGGTTTGGCGTAGCTTGCACTTGCAGTTTTTTGTGAGGTGGGGTAGTTTGGAATGTCATTCCTTCTTTGAGAAGTGTAAAAAAGTTCTTTTATATGTAATTATGCCTACAGTTTAGCTACAATTCATTAAAATTAATTTTAGTAGATTTTAATAAAAATAATAATAAAAATGCGATTAAAAATCGTGACTTATAAAATATGTGGTTAAAATAAATTAAAAACTTTGAATTAGATTTCTATAACGTTTAAATTAAACCAAACAAGGGCTTAAGTAACTTTGTGTAAAAGAATTGTGCTTCGAAATAATTTACTCTCTTAATTTTGTCTAACTTTTCTTTTCGGCTTCAATGTCTGTTTTAGATTTTTTACTAATTCATCATCACAAAACTAATTTAGGATCGACTCATTACTCGGATTCATTTATAGTTATATTAACATTGGGTTGCAAATAAGTATGTGCTGTTTGGTAAAGCTTAAATTTTAATTTAAGTTGGTCAAACATTATTTTTTTCATAAGTTTCGTCAAATTCATAATTTACTATCAAGTTATTATTTACAGATTTTGTATGACCCACAACTTTGAAAATACTACCGAATAGACTCTAAGTGTGTAATCAATTTTATAATAAGTATGAAATTGCAATTGAATTATAATCATTTCATTGTCACCAAATAAGGAAAAAAATATAAAGAAGTCATTATCATGATTTTGAAGTAGTTACGTGTTCCAATTTCATTAATAGCAATTTCTTGCAAAAATAAAGTATTTCAACCATCAATCTAACATCTCTTTACTTGGTAATTAATCTTTCTCTTCCACCAACAATAAAGGGTAAAAAAGAAGAAGCAAGTTTTGAAAATTGAAAAACCAAACAAACGAAAAGGACTTAGATTCAAGAAAATCCATATATGACAATTCATATGTTACGCGTTCAACCATCAAATGCATGTAGCTCATAGAAGAACATGACAAATACGTAGACAGTTGTTATTAAAAATTCTAGTATCTTATAATAAATGTGTATAATGTTATTCTTAGAAGATGTGCATACATATTTTCAAATCACCGTGCTTTCTTAATTTCTTTAAATAGCAGTAGGCAGCCGCTAAAGCTTGATCAATAATTTTAGTTCAATCAAAATACGTTGGTTAGATTGTTTTGAGGTGGTTCTCACATTTATTTCAAGACGAGACAGGTGGCCCCTGCAGAAAAGTACAATTTATTTATAATGAGAACTGGTGACAAGACTTGCAAATTTGATATAGAGAATGAAGGGGCTTTAGGGTTTGACATCATGGGTTCCAAATAAAGAAAAAGAAAAAAAGAAAAGAAAAGAAAAGAAAAGAAACGATAGACAGCGTGTCGAAAAGAGTTTTCGATGTATATACTAAGACGCTCAAATCAAGACAATAGAAAGGTAAAGATGGTATATGAATGATCTTTTGTACTTATTTTTACCTTGTGTATTTCTCTCCTTATAAGATCATCATCGGACAATTAATTCTAGATAACAGACGTGATTTCCTTCATCACTAATTCGGTTATTGATCATTCCAAAATATGTTAATTTTGCTCTCTTTTATGGCTATTCAATTGCTAATTTCCTTTTGTAACCTATCAAATAATTAGTGATGTAGAACAACCTGCCTCAATTACCTGAGTTATTTAGACTTGAAGAAAGTCAGGAGATTTCTGTTTACAACATTAGCATACACGTTTCTTATTTTTTTTATTCTAGTTGGACTATGTTCTAATTTATTTCTTGCATGTTTAATTGGGCTATATTTTAAGACTTTTTTTTGGGCTTTGTTAGGTTTATTATGTAGCCTATTTAAAGACCTCTTAAACCATTTAGCAGGATTATTATTATTTGCCGTCAATTTTTTATCACAGGTTCTTTTTTTCTGGTGGATTCCAATATTCATTGGAATTAACGTTTGTTAATTCAATTTCGTGTCATCCACTGCGTCAATTGGTATCAGAGCAAGGATTTGCCTACCTTGATGGCCAATAACTGAGATGGAGGAAACGAGACCAACAATGTTGTTCGTGGGTAGGAAGAAATCTGGGCAGCAATTGAGGAACAAAGGCAGCATATGGTGGAACAACATCAACAGATGGCAGAGATTCGAGAGATGCTTGCCAATTTGGGACTCAATGCCAATAGAAATCAGAACACCATTAGGATTGGAGCTGGAGGTTTTACCCGAGGCCACCATGGTGACAGGAAGGAGAGGCGCCATGAACGCCGTGATCGTCGTGTCCAGGTAGAAGAGGATTCGGACACAGAAGATGAGGTATTTGATCAAGGCCAAAAGAGAGGGCGAAATAGAGGCCATGAAGATTACCGTTTGAAAGCATATATTCCTACTTTTAATGGGAATATGTATATTGAAGACTTCCTTGATTGGGTTTCCAAGGTGGAGAGATTTTTTGAGATGATGGAGGTTCCCGAGGAGCGTCTGATCATACTTGTAGCCTTTAGGCTCAAGAGTGGAGCTGTTGTTTGGTGGGATCAACTACAAAGGAATAGGCAGCGCCAAGGAAAGACCTCAATTCGTACATGGAGGAAGATGAAGCAATTGCTTATGGAAAGGTTTTTACCATCAGATTATGAGCAATATCTGTTTCAAATGTACTAGAATTGTGTGCAGGGAGGTAAGTCCGTGTTCGACTATACTGCTAAATTTTCTAGATTATCAGCCCGAAATAATTTGAATGAAACTGAGCCCCAACGTGTTGCCCGGTATTTGAGTGGTTTAAAACCCAATATTAGGGAGAAGATTGGGTTACAAGTCCTTTGGTCTGTAGAGGAGGCTCTTAACATGGCATTGAAAGCAGAGATGCTGGAGAAAATTGGTGGCAAATCTGAATATTCACGAAAGAATATAGAATTACACAATATGTCAGGCAAAGGAAAGACCCCACACTCTATTGTTCCAGACCAACTAAAACCAACAGGGGTACAAATTTGGGATACTAATAATAGTGGAAATACTGGGCCAGTACAAGCTGCAACATCTGGTGGTCGAGAACAAGCTAGAAATTATAATTCATATGCAAAGACAGCACCAAGAAAATGCTATAGGTGTGGTAAACCTAGGCATCGTTCTAATGAATGTCCGACATGGAAACCAGTGAATTTGGTGGAGCAAGAAGAAGAGTCTGGGGGGGATGAAGAACATATAGTGTTTGATGATGAGGTTTACGATGTTGCTGGGGGATCGAAAGCTGAGGGGGAATGAGTTAATTTGGTTGTGTAGAGGGTTTTGTGCTCACCCAAGCAAGAGGATCAACCACAACGACGTAGTATTTTTCGATCATTATGTATTGTCAATAGGAAAGTTTGTGACCTGATCGTTGAGAATGGAAGTTGTGACAATTTTGTGGCCAAGAAGTTGGTAGAACATTTGAGGTTGCCCACAGAGGCTCACCCCTCACCTTATTTGATCAGCTGGGTGAAGAAAGGGCCAACAGTGAGAGTAACAGAGGTTTGCAGAGTTCCTATTTCGATCGGAAAACATTATAAAGAAGAAGTTGCTTGTGATGCTATAGATATGGACGCTAGTCATGTTCTACTGGGAAGGCCTTGGCAATATGATGTTGATGCAACATATAAAGGTAGGGAGAACGTATACTTGTTTACTTGGGAAGGCCATAAAATTGCTATGATTCCTTCGAAAGATTCTGACAATAAACCCAAAACTTCTAAAGTGGAGGGACAATCCTTTTTAACAGTGGCTAGTACTGAGAATGAGTTTGAACTTGAAGTAAAGGAGACTCGAGAAATGCACGTAGTAGTAGTTAAAGCTCTCATTGAAGATGCTCATAGAAGTATAGTGAACGAGGTGCCTACTAAGGTAAAACCATTATTGGGAGAATTTCAGGAATTATTATCTAATGATTTGCCTGATAAGCTGCCACCTATGAGGAATATTCAACATCAAATAGACTTGGTACCTGGAGCAAGTCTACCAAACATCCCTCATTATCGTATGAGCCCACAGGAGAATGAGATCTTACGAGCAAAGGTGGAAGAGTTGTTAAGGAAGGGATTTATTTGTGAAAGCATAAGTCCTTGTGTCGTACCGACTTTATTGACACCAAAGAAGAATGGGAGTTGGCGTATGTGCATAGATAGTCGGGCTATAAATAAAATAACGGTGAGATATAGATTCTCTGTACCTTGCTTGGATGATATGTTGGATATGTTGGAGGGTTCAAAGTTGTTTTCCAAAATTGATTTGCGGAGCGAGTACTGATAAGTGTGTTTTTACACATTTATTTGGATCATAAACATGACTTAAACATGGATAAAATGGTGGAATTGTGACTTAATCCAGTTAAATTTATGTATTGTAGGTAAGTTGTTTTCCAAAATTGATTTGCGGAGCGAGTACCACCAAATTCGAATTCGGCCAGGGGATGAATGGAAAACTGCTTTCAAGACAAAGGATGGCTTATATGAATGGATACTCATGTCTTTCGGGTTGACAAATGCACCAAGCACCTTCATGAGACTTATGAATCAGGTATTGAAACCATTTGTTGAGAGGTTCGTGGTATTTTATTTTGATGATATTTTAATTTATAGTAAAGAAGAGACGGAGCATTTGGGTCACCTAAAGGAAGTTTTAGTGGTATTACAAGAAAATAAGCTGTTTGTTAACCTTAAAAAGTGTAGTTTTTTAACCAGCAGCTTATTATTTTTGGGATATGTGGTGAGTACTGATGGTATTCATGTCGATGAGGAAAAGGTGAGAGCTATACAGGAGTGGCCTACTCCAAAAACAGTAATTGAGTTTCGTAGCTTTCATGGATTAGCAACATTTTATCGAACATTTATCCGAGATTTCAGTTTTATTGTCGCCCCAATAACAGAATGTTTAAAGAAGGGAAAGTTTAATTGGGGAAGCAAAGAAGATGAGAGTTTTACCAGGATTAAAGAAA